GTGCATCACTCGTTTATGTGATCATACATTACATTCAATTCATTGTTTATAACTTTTGTTAAATTTATAACATTTCAATGAATATAGAGTTTCAATAATTAATCTCATTGTTGAATATTTTTATATTACGTTAATATTTAATGTGTGAAAAGTTTGTAGTCATCATCTCATCTCTTCCTATACTCTGTTCCTATCCTTACATAAAAGTATATGATATTTGAGACGTTATACCATATAATGTAATCCCTATTATGTTTATTGATTATAATGTCAAACATGAGATTCTATGGCTTGTATTGGATTCTGTTCTCACAAAACAGACAAAACTAATCATTAATTATTCAAAATATTTATCAATCCATTAGTCATTGGGTTTTCAATAACTTTCTTATTATAGGAACAAAAGAAAAGACAATTTTCCTATTAATCGTTATTTTATATTTATAATTATAAATTGCAAATTAATTGTTGTCTATTTGTATTCATTATTTATATAACGTGTGATTAAATATAAGTTTGTATGAAATTGAGACAATTATTTCGGTACACGATATACAAGACACGTATTGATTGAATACAGTGTAACTTTGTTCACAATTTATAGCTAATTCATAGACACCTTTCGGACACAAATCGAGTGAAAAAAGTGATTATTTTGTAAACTAATGGCAAATGCAGTGAAAATACAATTTCTCACTGAAATGAAATGCATTTACAACTGAATTGAGTGTTCATTGAATTGAATGACAATTTGGACACAAAAGCGACTGAAATGAGCGATAAGTTGAGTGAAGCGAACGAATGCTATAATAAGGCCGACAAATAGTAAGAATATTCTGTCCATTCATTTCACTTACAATCACTTGTAATCACTTCTCATGAATTGGTATTGAATTAGTCTGAAGACAGGTCTTCTCAAATGGAAACCAGATTACGATTTGGCCGCCAATGAGTACTCACGAGCGGGTATTGTATTGAATGAATGGTCCAAATATATGATTATAATATTGACATCTCATGTGATTGTCTGATAGCGACCTGTTTTAAGTCACTGCAAATGCCGGACAAGTGTTTGGACGCTCAGCTTAAGGCCGCCGACTGTTACCTCAAAGTCAAGTCATATTTCTCGGCCGCGAAGTAAGACAACTAATGATAACAGCGATTGAATGATTGTATTAATGAATAAATTGATTTGAATGAACAGATGCTTTGAACAATCGGCCATTATTTCCAAAGACATGAATAAATGGGATTTAATGATCAAATATATGGACCAATCGTGTTATCTGTATAGAGAGCACGGAGTGGTGGACACCGCGGCCCTAACCCTGAATCGCGGCGCTCAGTAGGTCTCGGATTGTGGTTTGAAATGAATTAACATTTGTATTGACACATAAAGGATGATTGAGAGCAATAACCCGGAAAAGGCGGCCGAATGGTACGGACAGGCGTCGGAGGTAACAATGATAGAGGAGAGACAGAGACAGGCGGCCGAATACGCCAACAAATCGGTCCGTATTTATCTCAAACTCAAGAAATACGACGAAGCGGTCGAGTGGTTGAGGAAAGCCATGAACTATCTGTTGGAAGCCGAAGATAATCAGGGATTGGGTCGACTCTATGTCGGTCTTGTGCTCATCGAGTTGGCCCGCGAAGACGTTGTCTCAGCACAAAAAGTATTGAAACAAAAATTATATCTTACACTCAATCCATTAATTCAATGCTTAAACGCATGACTTGTATTCCTATAGGCCTTCCGAGAGGGCAAGAGTTTTATTGAAGACCAAGAAATCTATTCATTGAACACAATGCTCGAGGGTTTCGATCAAATGGATGCCAACGCTATCGTCAGTGGACTCAACAGCCCTTTCATCAAAAGCCTTGACAACGAATACACAAAAATAGCCCGAAATTTAACACAAAAATATTCGGCGAAAGCAAACGAGAGCTCTAACGCCGACGAGTCCGTTGATGAAGAGGCGGGTGCTATGCTCTGAGGCCTCATATCATTACTTATGGATGCAATGTATTATAGAAACGAAGTTTTACTGTAAATATCAATTATATTTCAATCGATTCATTCCCTTATAATTCCAATAATTATTTCAAACAATATTCTCTAAACTAATGTAATTTAAAAGTAATGATTAATCCCTGAAAGATATGATTTTAAACCAAACATGTATTGTAATTGTGGCACAAAAAAAATAAAATAATTTCAATTCAAATAATTTCAAACAATATTCTCTAAACTAATGTAATTTAAAAGTAATGATTAATCCCTGAAAGATATGATTTTAAACCAAACATGTATTGTAATTGTGGCACAAAAAAAATAAAATAATTTCAATTCAAATTCAAATGGAATGCATTCATTGGTTTCGTTGAATCCATAGTTAGAAAAATGGGTTTCGGTTTGAAATGATAGTAAAAACACAATTTCTTGTAACGAATGACTGGATATTACTTAAGAAAAGTCAAACATCTTTTTTCAAATTTCGTGAGTAATATATTAGGCACTAAAGTCTAGTCGTCTGCGGAACCCGTCCCTCGCTTTACGCGTCTTTGTCGCGGAGATTGTCGTACTTTCGGTGACTTATCTGAAGTAATGACAAAGTAATGAATCAATATTTATCACGAATACAAGAGTTGATGACATACTGAGTGAGTTAAGTGTTTCCTCTGGCAACCAGTCGTAGTCGACATCATTTGGATTAGAAGTTCCCGTTTCTGTCTTCGAACGAGAATTTCAAACAATATTCTCTAAACTAATGTAATTTAAAAGTAATGATTAATCCCTGAAAGATATGATTTTAAACCAAACATGTATTGTAATTGTGGCACAAAAAAAATAAAATAATTTCAATTCAAATGGAATGCATTCATTGGTTTCGTTGAATCCATAGTTAGAAAATGGGTTTCGGTTTGAAATGATAGTAAAAACACAATTTCTTGTAACGAATGACTGGATATTACTTAAGAAAAAGTCAAACATCTTTTTTTCAAATTTCGTGAGTAATATATTAGGCACTAAAGTCTAGTCGTCTGCGGAACCCGTCCCTCGCTTTACGCGTCTTTGTCGCGGAGATTGTCGTACTTTCGGTGACTTATCTGAAGTAATAACAAATCAATGAATCAATATTTATCACGAATACAAGAGTTGATGACATACTGAGTGAGTTAAGTGTTTCCTCTGGCAACCAGTCGTAGTCGACATCATTTGGATTAGAAGTTCCCGTTTCTGTCTTCGAACGAGAGGACGACGTCAACGACGACAACGACGAAGAGATGTGCTTTTTCTGTCATATTTGGCGTTCAAAATAAAGTTCAATACTTTCAAACAAAACCAAATGTATTAAACATACGCTGAATGAGACGAAGAATTGTTGAGCGACGACAGCAACTAATACGAAAACAGCGGCCAAAAACACGTATAAGAAGAACGTCTCGCCATCTAATCCCTCATCCAATTCAACGATAGACACCGTTTCGTTGAACACTGCGTTCAAGTAATGGTTGCCGTCCTTTCATTGCATTCATTGCCAATCATTACAATTATTATTCGTTAAGAATTTTTGCTCAAACTTTCAATACTTACAACATCTCGATAGAAGAGGTTGACAGTGAAACCATAGGGTCGAGCGCTGTAGGCATCGCTCACGAAGAACTGATACGCGAGAGTCATCTCTTGCTTCGGTTTAACCACTCGATTGTAAGCAATAGCTGTGAACTAAATCATACCAAAAACTATCACAAATTTGATCATTAGATAAACAATCAATGATTGAATACATTTTGTAAATGAAAGCTGAAGTCCTGAGCGTATCTGAAGGAGGCGTCCATTGAATCCACGACATAATCTTTGGTACCTTTGTTGGCAAAACCAACCAAAAAGTGGACTTCTTTTCCGGCCGGAAGTTCTAATCGATTCAATTGATACACAATTACAACATTTCATTTGGACATCAAATGAGCGAAAATTATCGCAGTTTCAAAAACTATTGAGACCTGAAGTGCTTTGCGCTGGTTTTGTGAAGAGGAAGAATGTGTCGATATCTGGCGATGCCTTCAACGACAGCGACTCGTTCTCGTCGTCGTCGCCTTCTTCGCCGGTTTTCAAGATATCGTTGTCCTCGACGTTGGCGTCCTCTTCGCCCTCCACCACATCAGCCGCTTCTTCGGGGTTCACGTCTTCGGCGGCCATCGCATAGAAGTTGTTGCAAAGACCTGACAAACAGCTCATCATTAATACCACTCAAAGACATTGCAGATATCAAATGGATTTAATGCCACGTAAGCCATCAAAACCAACGGTTATACCATTTTGCTGAAGAATGACAGATATGGGAACCAATAGTAAAACAATTAAAAGCAGTTTATGAAACATTTTCGTGTGAATGCAACTCCGGATGACTTGATTTTGACCACAATTTAGATAAAATGTGTTGAAATTATCACTCAATGAATGTATTGAAGGATTGAATGCTTTAACGCATTGTTTTCAATGAGAAAGAGAGAGACAAACAGTAAATGCAATGCAAAGGCCTGTGAGGGCACACATTGGCACACATCACACACTTTGGCACACTTTGCACACATCGGCCACACATAGGCTTCACTGCAACGCTCTCTACCGCACATCACATGCACTACACGTTTCACAACACAAACACTGATTCATTGAATCCACGGTTTGTCATGTCTTTGATTGTGTCAACACATGCCAACACATCCAAGACATGAGTTCCATCGAATGGCCGCCAATTCTCACCAAATTTAGGCACAAGAAGTGGTCGCTTCAGTGGCAGATCGGCTCCAACATCGTTGTGCCCACCATTGGTCTCCTCAGCAAAGTGTGGATCCAATGTCTGAACCGAACTCGAGTTCACAATCACTTCGTATTATTGGATACTTTGACCAAACATTACAACAATCATAAGAAGAGACCACTCATTACGATATAAACTCCGGATGACTTGATTTTGACCACAATTTAGATAAAATGTGTTGAAATTATCACTCAATGAATGTATTGAAGGATTGAATGCTTTAACGCATTGTTTTCAATGAGAAAGAGAGAGACAAACAGTGAATGCAATGCAAAGGCCTGTGAGGGCACACATTGGCACACATCACACACTTTGGCACACTTTGCACACATTAGGCCACACATCGGCTTCACTGCAACGCTCTCTACCGCACATCACATTCACTACACGTTTCACAACACAAACACTGAATCCACTGTTTGTCATGTCTTTGATTGTGTCAACACATGCCAACACATCCAAGACATGAGTTCCATTGAATGGCCGCCAATTCTGACCAAATTTAAGCACAAGAAGTGGTCGCTTCAGTGGCAGATCGGCTCCAACATCGTTGTGCCCACTATTGGTCTCCTCAGCAAAGTGTGGATCCAATGTCTGAACCGAACTCGAGTTCACAATCACTTCGTATTATTGGATACTTTGACCAAACATTACAACAATCATAAGAAGAGACCACTCATTACGATATCAAACCATTCCTCGTGTTTGGACGACCCGCTAATGTGGGGCTCATTAATACCTCTGAAATGGCAGTTCAACGCCAGCCGTCATCGATGGTCAGCCGCCGCTCAAGAGATTTGTTTTACTAATAGTTTGTATTCGTTGTTCTTCTCAATGGGAAGAACTTTTCCCATAATCCGAGGCAAAGGTATATATCAACCGGCGATGGATTTTGCGTTGGATCTGCTTAGAGACGGACAATGGCTTCACATCTTCCCGGAGGGAAAAGTGGTTATGCATAACAAAGAGATTGAAGAGACAACTAATCCCAGACTCGACACTGACGTGAATGTGACCGAAGAGATTGATCGCGAAGTGAAACCGTTATACGAGTTTAAGTGGGGTTTGTCTCGACTTTTGTTGGATTACGTGCTGAACGAGAGTAATGGCGGCGAAGTGGAAGTGTTACCCATCTATCACTTGGGTATGGATGAGGTGTTGCCCACTCGCGAGCCATACATTCCACGGATCAATCAAAAGACCACATTCTATGTGCGAGAAGACGGACCCATACTTATAGACCGGAAGCTGTTGTCGAATCTGTTTGAAGATATCTCTAGTCTTAGCTCTAAAGAGAGACGAATCAAAATAATGAGATTTTTTGAAAATGAAATGAATTCACTTAAAGCCAAAGCAATACTAATTCACAACAATTTGGAAAATATAGTTTCAAATAAACAAAATTAGTCCAAAAGTAGACTTACTTTTTTCAGTTAAGAGCACTCAATGTTTGCAAAACTAATATTAAAGTATATTTTCAATTTAATAGTGAAATTTAATTTTATTGTACTTATAAATAAAAACTATTGATCAGAATATTTATATACACATAAATATATCTAAATTAATAAACTGTTAAATTAAATTAGAGTTTAATCAAGATTTTAAATAATTTGATTTTGAAAATAAACTTTTTATAAAAATGATGTAAAATATGAGTCGAAATCGAAATGCTTTAAAAGAATAGTCAGATTTTAGGGTTAATTCGGTTCGGAGTAATAAATATGGATATAATGTGCACAAAGAGGTTATATTATAATCATTTGAGTGATGGAATTGTGGTTAACATGATTTTGGTCGACATCCCATCTTTACTATTGGTGTTCTCATTGTCTTCACAGTCACTGCCCATAGAGTTGGACAGTATTGGAATCGTTGGGTATTGTATGCCATCGATGGTGACAATGGGCGGGAAAGAGCCGCCGATATCAACGGGCGCTGTAATGATCTCGATGTGAGCGGTGGGAATGCCGTCGTCCAGCATTTGGTCGTGAAATTGAAACGTGAATTCACTGTTTGACGAATCTTTGGGTGTCATCTGTTCTGATGAGTCGCCCAACACAGCGGTGGTGAGCGTCGCGTTCACGTTAGACGGCTTTGTTCTCGCTTTTGGTGACACAATACCGCTTGTGGTGACTGTACTCGCGGTCGATGTCGTGCTACACATTGCGCTCGTCTTCTTCGCGAGTCTTATGTTTGTTTTGCAACTCTTCTTAGACTTGAGGGCAACGCTTGTATTAGTGGTTCCGATACACGAGTGCTTCTTCAGGTCGTGCTCTGAAGCGAACAAATTTCCACAGTTTTGACAATCAAAGAGTGTTATGAAATCAGTCTTATTGAGAATAGTATTGGGAACGACGGTTGTGGTGGTCGTAGTGGCCGTGATCTCAACGCTTTGAGTGCTCTCGTGTCCTTTTTGGTGCTCTCGCAGATGGGCTCGACGTGAGAACGAACGAAGACATACATTACACTAACGAAGCAAACAATCATTTGTGTTAATTGTGGTCAATATCATGCGATAGGATGCGAGTGAATGACAATACCTGATGCGGTTTGATTCCACTGTGGGTTAGAATATGTGCCTTCAGTTTGTCGGGTCTATTGAATTCTTTGGGACAACCGGTATGTGCTTTAAAGGGACACTTGAATCGTTTGATGGGGTCGTGAACCAGTTTATGCCGCTTTAGTTTATCCCTTCGATTGAACGCAGCGTCACATAGATTGCACGCAAAAGGCTTTTCTCCTTCAAATCAAAATTCAATTATAAATCAAAGCAATGACAGCGATAACAACGTTAATGTCAAGTCATTTACCGGTGTGTATGACTAAATGCACTTTTAAATAATTAGCTGTTTTGAACGTCTTTTCACAGTATTGACAAATATGAAGACCTGATCCGTGAGTGAGTAAATGGCGCCTTAAATAGCGCTCACAGGGAAACACTTTACTGCAGTTCTGACACGGATAGTGATGTGTCGAAGTGGCCAAATGGTGCTCCAATGCTGCCGGTGTTGTGTACTTATTCAGACACTTTTGACATCGAAAATATCTATCAAATCACATCAGATATTAAATGTTAATATTAATACTACAATCAAAGTGACATTTAAACCAAACCTTTGTCCGGTTCGGGAGCCCTGGTTTGGGTACAACGAGTGGCTGTATTGATGTACTCCGAGATCGTATAGAGAGCTGAATGTTTTATTGCACTGATGGCAACGGTATGTCATTTCTGTCTCGTGGGTCTGGATATGACTCAAGAAGGGCTCCAATTCGGA